TTATGAATGAAATATTTTTTTTTGGAAAGAGGCATGTGCTTCTATTAAATCTAAGAGTTACAGTACCTACCCATTTTTAAATACTATGAAAGTTAAATGGGTAATATGTTATAAGTGCTTGGTCTAGTGGAGTGAGTAATACTCAGCCAATGTATATCAACTATTTTGATTTTCTCCCCTTGGCTTTGTAAACATTAACCCAGGTATTAATGTTAGTGTCTTGATCATTCATTTCATCAGTGAATCAAAACAGTCATAGGAAAAAACCATCCCATACAGATATGAAGTTATATAGAAAAGATAAATGTTTTGTCCATTATATTTTTGCAATTCAGCATCAGACTGCTAGAGTAAATTTTAAAAACTTTTACTTTCTTGTATGTTAATGAAAATAAGAAAATTTTGGATATTTTAGGTTAATAAGATGATGTTGAAATAAAGTTTTCATTCTTTATGTTTAGCAGTAAGAACCTATTCTTGTCCTCTGAATCTAAATGTCCAGAAAGAAAATATAGATACATAATATATAGGGAAAATAGACAGAGATAGAATAGATTAGAGATGGAAGAGAGAGTGAGAGTGATGGAAAGACAGAGAGAGACAATGTGAGAGAGATGGAGGGAGGGAGAGAAGGAGGGTGGCAGAGAGAGAGAGATTCCATTTATACTAGTTACATATGATTACTTGAGGCAGTATTCAAATCAATTGTATTTTGATATTTCTAGAAGATTCTATCTACCTTTCCTTATATATTCAAAGAGATATTTACTAAAGTCATGCATAAAAGGAGAATAATGACTCAATCAGTAAAGGTAATATTGCAGCTAAATTAAAGAAAATAAAATGACTTTGCTTGAAAATGGAAGTCAGTTTCTTTCTAATCTTCAAGTAAACATACAACTTTATAGGAACTGTGCCTATTGGAGAATTATTTCACTTGCTTCTGTTAAAAATAAATTTTAGAACAGCAATTTATCATTACACAGAATGTTGTTTTATAAAATATCACAGAAATAGTTATTCATCTAAGATATATTATATAAACAAAGCTTCTTGTGAGGTCAACACTAAAATAAATGCAAGCAAAATTATGTATAGTGAGCAAATATTTATATATTATTTTCTACTAAATATATTTCTTTCTGTTTTGACTATATCAGTCATCAGGCATAGATATTTACATTAAGGTGGATGCACGTTTATAATGAAATTTCAACATGATTAGAAAAATTCATAATATGTTCCTATCTGTCTCACAAGCTGTGGCTCAAATTATTTAAAAATTTATATTTGAGGAGTCATCATTACTTGAACTACATGTTGCATTCTCATAGTTAGAATGTGGTTTCTCATTTGAAAAAAAATCTACAATTATTCTTAAATATACAAATTCTGTTAGTATTCAGAAAAGTATTATGTCAAATAATCTAAATAGTGTATCTTTAATCATAAAAAGTTTTTACCTGGAAATTTTTAAAATTTTTAATCTTGAAGAACTTTAGAAGAATTTATTAGAAGTAAATTTGCATAGTCCCATAGCTAAACATGTGTGTCGCTATAGACATGTATTTGAAGATAAAGAACCAAAAGTGTGCTGAGCTTCAGATTCTTACCATGTATGGCTGCCAAATACAACTTCATTACCTCAACTGATTTTTATTTTTTGATAAAAATAAGCAAATATTTTAAGTTAGTGTAAATTATTTTAAAAATCTATTCATTGTCTTACATATGAGTATCTTAATTGTCTTTGAATGAATCAGCAACTATTTCGTTGTCAAAGAAATGCTTAAAAACTCAAAAATAAAACAAAGCCATATCAAATGAACGTACCAAAGACAGAGTTTTAGAAATGTAATTTGTTCCCATTAAATTGTATTTATTATCTACATCAGTGTAAAGCTCACATTTACTTGGTATCTAAAAGACAGACAGACGTAAACCCAGATGAGTCAAAATCTGTCTTAGCTATTATTGGATTCTTGAAAATTTGTTTTGAATCTACAATCAAAGCTGAAAATAAACAAACATGTATAAGAATTATAGAATTTCAATCAAGTTTCATTTTTAAAAAGTTTACTAAATTTAATAACATAAATCGTATCATAATGTATCTAGCTAATGCATGCCAAATTTTTCTTGTTTGTAAAACTCAAAGTAGGCAAAGTTAGAAATGTCACTAAAATTAGAGCAAACAAGTGAGTTTGGTCAAATTCTCATTAAGATTCAAGATCAATTACAGCAGTGACTGTAATCAAGAATACTTATGTTTTTGTCTAGGGCACTGTGGGATCTGCTGGTACTTTGATAAATTTTCAGTGATTTAGCCCACCACAATAAACAGCATTTCTAGTACTGATAGACATATAGAGATAGCTTAAGCTTTACACTTGGCAAACATTGGAAGACTTGACTCACCTTGTTCAAGTGGTTGGCTTTTAGTTGAAGTAGTTTTCATCTTGAGTGCCTCCCTAACAGACATGTCACAGCAGGAGCCTTTGTTAGTGTCTTGGTCACTGTCAGCCTGATCACTGTCCCCGTGCCCACTGTCTCTCAGGCTGGCTCTTTCTGGGTCCTTAAACGTGGAGCTACTGAAATACATATAAAGAAAAAGAGGAGAAAGTGTTGTCTCTACCAGTTTAAGTCTGAAGTGTAGTTTCTTGCAAAGCAATTTTGACATGAATGCAAATGGGGAAGCCAGAAAGTTATTTAATAGGCCTTACCTTTGAACAAACTGCTGCCTGCTGCCCATGTAATTGGGCTCTGCGGGAAAATTGTCTGTCTGTGAAAGAGAAGGAAAAAAATACGTATAGTTGTACACTGGACAAATCTCCTGCAGAGCAACAAGATTTCCTAGTGGAAAAATGATTAATAATTCAAAAATTCCCTTAATCTTCAGATTTGTACATTTTAATTAAATTGGAAATTGCTGACATCTAATTATGTACTCAGAACAATTAAATGATTCCGGTCCACAAATTACCTGTTAAAGTAAACAACGAACCTGTCATAACTGGCATTATCCATTAGTACCAAGATGGATAACACTATCTATGTGGTTTCATTACACAGATATTAAGATTGAATATTTGTGGGAGGAGTGGGGAAATGACCTAATTTCTCCATATTAAAAGTGTGAATTATTTAATAACATTCATTTTTATACATAATTGCATCATCTTCTGGGATTCTATGCCATTCCTAATGTAATATCATGCAAAGTCATCCACTCTATTAAAAGATATAGGCCTTTCCTCCAAATTTTGCCAGGAACAGTTAGAAGCATGCCAGGCATAGTTGAAATCATTTCAAATTCATTCTTAGCTACATCTAAACTACCAAACTATACTCAAACAAAACAGTGGAAAGGGGTATTAATTCCTGGTTCTTTAAAAATGAAGTAAAATTAAATATAAGGGGAAAAGTTACTTAAAATATTACTAGTAAAAATATTGAAAAACCAGTTTTATTGTGGTTGTTTTTTACTGCTTCCAAACTGGCATGGACATCTGCCAGAAAGAACTGAATTCTCCTTGTATCATGGAACAGAGTCTTTTGGGAGAAAGAGACTGGATCTTTCATAGATCTCCCTGTACTGTACATTCACACACGTTACTTCTTCGTGCAGCTGACTCAGTAACAATGCTTCTCCTGTTTTCTGCATCGCTGCATATCACACCATTATGCTCTGGAGCAGCTCTGGGTTTGTACAGGACCATCCAGCATTCAAGTATCAGTGACACACGGATCATGCAATTCATGAAGCAAGAGGGCCCAAGGTAAGGTTTAGTGTAGTGCAATATGTGCTTTCTTTATAAATAAGGCTAATTTAAAATAGTACTCTTTTTTTTGCTTTTGGCATAATCATTGAATTTATTTGGCTTTGTGAAATGTTACTGTAAAAAATAAAGACATGCTAAGAAAAATTGATCAAAATATGATTTAAGATTCCTTGCCTGCTACAAGTTTGGAATTATGAAAAATACAAATTTCTTAATTTGAAATCTAATTTTGTAGAACCAATGGTCTTATCAAGCTGTAGGCAAAATAAGGTGAACAGTGTGGATTTATGTTTCAGTGCTAACAATCTTTAACTAGCAACTGTTAGCTGGTACTTTTCATTAACATGTACTTGATTCTGGATTCAGTGACACATCTTTCTTGCAATAACAGACTTAACAACTTCAGGGATAACTTCATCTCACAATAAAATGAATATGGCTAACCAAAGAATGGGGGCAAAAATGTGCACAAAAGAATGCTGACTGATTCAGAAAGTATCTACAAACTTAGAAACTCCACAAACTTGAGGAAATGTAGTTTGTCTTCTGAATTTTTGTGAAATATCTGTATTCAATCCATTATTGCTCTTGGGTAAAAGACAAATGTTTTAGAAGCCCTCAGGCAAATAGGGTCCAGAATATTAAGAAGAAAGTAAAACGTAAAGTGAAATTGGAAAGTAATTAGAAAATAAAGATGTAGTATAAATAGTATGAATTCACTAGTTTTAACTAGAAGAATTCTCTTGGAGTGCAGATCCCTGCTAAATAAGACACAGGGAGAGAGATTAAAAAAGCTTTTCTTCTCTAACATCAAAGACAGTTTCTGAAAAAGTTTGCATTTTATTAAAGGTCTAATAAGGAGCAAGCAAAAATACAACATATTTTTCCTTCAAATGAAGGACTATTAAAGATTGTATGTTCAAAATAGGCATGGTGGCACATGCCTTTAGTCCTAGGACTCCAGAGACAGAGGTAGGTAGATCTCTGTGAGATTGAGGCTAGCCTGACTTATATAGCTAGTTCCAGGCCAGCTGGGCCTTTAAGGAGACTCTGGCTGAAAACTCCAAACATAATATCATAAATATATATTTTTTTTCATCAAAATGTTTGAACATGACACATTAGTATTGCTGCTAAGCATTGTTTTGAGCAAAGTAGAAAAAAGAGGAAGTGAGAAGTAATTTATGGAGGAGAAAGACTTAAAAGCAGAAAGAAAAACCTGGAAGAAAATGCAGAGAAAATGAGAAGAAAAACTCAAAGATCTAGGAAGGAACAGAAAGAAGGGTAGAGGGAGGTAATAAGAAATGTAAAACAAAGAGCAAATTATTTATGTTCACAGAATTAAAAAATTACAAATGTAAACCTTTGCGAGTCAATCAGTATCATAGTGAGAAGTTGTGAGTGAATCACGTCTGGACTTATTCATTCATTAAAGTAGCTTGTAAAGCAAGAGGTTGTGTTAGTGGCTAATAGCCATTTGGCTTTTATCAAGCATACATCGAATTCACTCTAAAAACTACAGAGGTTTGAGAGGATAACATTCTCATTATCTATGCTCACAGTACCTAAAAATTCATTAGTGTGATCTGAATATAAAGTAACAGTACTCTCATGAAAAAACAAAAGTTACCAGAAAGTCAGAAGTATCAGCATGATTTGTTTAATTCAGATATAGAGCAGCTTTCAGATACTTGATGGCACTCTACTTTAAAAATTGAGTTCTAGATTATATATCTATGATCCTTAAATTTTAAATCCTGGAAGAAAGTCAAATATGACGCTAGACACATAACTTTGTCTCTCAGCAGAGTAACATATAACTATTGCTAATGATTGATAGTGGCACACTCATGCAAACTAATAACCGTGATTTTTTTTCTCACAAACTGAACTGAAACACAGTGAATTTAACTCATATGAAGAACACACGATCTTTTAATCAACAAAAAATGTGCACATTGGATTGCTAGGTAAGTGTACAAACATTTCCAAGTATGTTTTTAAAATTTTTAGAGTATATTGATATGTTGACTCTATATAAATCATTAGGAATAAATCACATAATATTCTCCATTTTTAAAAGTCATTGTTTACTCATAACAAAACAGATCTGAACTAACATAAAACTGAATGTGACATCCTCTTATTGTTTTGTTATTGTTATTTTATTTGTTAGAAACAATAGCATTTTAAAATTCTTTCAATTTTACACCTAACAAACACAACTTTACATAAAACTGAATGTGACATCCTCTTATTTTGTGATTGTTATTTTATTTGTTAGAAACAATAGCATTTTAAAATTCTTTCAATTTTACACCTAACAAACACAACTTTGCAAGGAAGCAAACACAAACTGCCCGATGCATTTCAGGATATGATTATTTTTCCTGATAGTTTGCCTTCATTTCTCTATTAGTATTCATCAAACTATATGAACAAGTTATTCCTAATATAAACCCCACCCAGAAAGTAGCCCTTCCTAGTAGCACTGCAGCACAAAACATAAGTTTTAAAACTATAACTGAGAAAGACCAACAGAGAGTACACAGTAAGACCAAGTCATGTTCACTGATATTAGGAATGTTCATTCTTTGCAAAAGATCCATATGATGTGCCATTTACATGTACTCTAAGAAGCTGAACTTTATTGAAGCAAATGATAAAAATGGTGAGAAAAGATCTTTAAAATTATTAAAAACAGACATTTTAAAAAATAGCAAACATTTAACAGAATTCAAATTTTTTAATTACAACAATTCTCAGCCAACAAGCATTAGAAGTTCCTCAACTGTATGAAGAAAATCTAATTTTGCGTGTGTGTGTGTGTGTGCACACACATGTGTGTGTCTTCATGCATGTCCATGTGTGTGTATAAAGGTGAGAGCTTGAAACCTTTTCTCCTAGGTAAGGATATCCAAACTCAACACTGTACTGAGAGGCCTACCAAGTTCAGAAAAACAAGTAAATGGAATGAAGAGCATACAAAGTACAAATGAAAAAAGGAAGTTTTCAAGCATTGTCATTATATTTACATACCATATTTTTTTAGGTGGAAGTCATCAAACAAACTAAACTCCTAAATTAATAAATGCATTAATCAAGGTTGTTATAATTAAGGACATCACAAAAAGTTAATTCTATTTCTCAGTTCTAGAATGAATTGTTCAAAACAAAGATTTCAAAGCAATATTTTTAGTGAAGAACTGTATATATATTTAACTTATTTGTTTAGCATCTATATGCTAAGCATTACAAAAATGATGACACAAATCAGAGACCTAAAGGGAGATTCACCTCATGTATGTGGATCAGAACACACAATACTATGAAGATGTCAGTGTTTTCCAAATATTCAATAAAGATAACTTAATTGCATTCAATTGCAGCAGGAATTCCTATACATACAAACATGGTGATTCTTAAATTTGTACAGAAACACACATGAACAATATCAAATCAAACAATTTCAGATTAAAAAAAAAAAGACAAGATGAGGAATCTCACTGCTGTATTGAAGCCCCACTGCCTAGGACACTGCAGTATTAGTCAAAGAATGAAAACAAAGAACAGTGGAACAAAAGACACTGCCTGGAAATCTCCCCACACAAATACGGCCAATTGATTTTTGACAAAGATGCAAAGTCAATTCAATAGATAATTCAGTGGAAATGAATCATGATCAACACTTCACAGTTTACAGAGAGGGAAAGGGAGGGAGAGAGACAGAGAGAGAGAGAGAGAGAGAGAGAGAGAGAGAGAGAGAGAGAGAGAGGCAGAGAGAGACAGAGAGAGGAGAATATTTATAAATATAAAGCATTAAGCTATGAAAGTCCATAAGAAAAAAAAATAGTAAAAAAGCCATTGCCAAACATCATTAAGCAGAATCTTCAGACACGATGCCACAAAGCATGATCCACAGAAAAGAGAAAAGAATTGGACTTTGTTAAATTATAATTTTTAGATTTGAAAATGACACTTGATGATATTTAAAGAGAAATGACTGTCTTTGAGAATGCTTTATATTCTCAATAAAACTATGAGCAAATATATGTAAAGAACTCACAAAATTAAATGAAAAGACAACAAAAATATTTACCAGAACCATTCATCATATAGAGTACATGTGATATATAAGTACATGAAAAGGGATGCACTGTAATTATCATTGAGGGAGCTGGACAGTAAAATTGAAATTGAGTGTTACTATATGCCCACTAGATTAAACAAAAATGTTAATTGCAATAATAGCAAAGATATGGAACAAAAATAATTTTATAAAGATTTGAGAATACAAAATTATACAGCTATTTTGGAAAAAATATTGTCAGTTTCTTGCAAAAATAAATACAAATGATTTTCATATTCCCAAGTTTTTACCTGCAGATGTTTCCCCTAAGGAAATTAGTACTCTAGTGAGAAAAATGTATATGTGAATATTTATATAAACTTTTTTTTCCACAAACTACAGTCAACCTAGATAACCTTCAGGTAAATAAATAGCTGGATGTATGTGAAATGAAATACTGGTTTCTAATTTATTACTTATGTTAGTGTGTCAGTTTGTATAGTGTGTGTGTGTGTGTGTGTGTGTGTGTGTGTGAGCATGTTTGTATATGTGCAAGCACATACACGGTACAGTGTATATGTGGTGGTCAGTGGACAGCTTGCAGGAATCCTTTCACCATGTGTGTCCCAGGGATTGAACTCAAGTTGCAGCAAGTACTTTTACCTGCTGAGCCATCTTGTTGCCCTGACATATTATTTTTGAATGAAAACTGAACTATAGATTCAGTTCCCCCAATTGCATACAGAATGATTCTATTTAAGCAAATAATTATAACAGAGATCAGTTCTTGTCAGGTGTTGTTAAAGGTGAGTAACAGTGGCCAGAGAAAAGATAAGGAAACTCAAAAGAGTGCTGAATTACTTTTTTGCCTCATTGAAAATAATTATAAAATTATAAAACATTTTTTTTGTTTAAATATTCTTAATGAAGTGTGTTTCCTCATCTGTCTTTTAAAAAGACACTGAGCAAACCTCTAAAACCAATGCAGAGAGCCTATATTCTTTTGGACAGAAATCAAATATGAACTTGGGACATAAAGTTCTGTTTAACAGCATCAGCAAATCCAACAGCTCTGCAAGGCCTTTTTACTTCAGAAAACAAAACAGCTGAGTCATGAAGCAGTAGACTCCATCTTAAGAAACTACAAGTTTTTCCGTCTAGAAAATGCCTTGTAATGCCAAAACACTAATTGTAGAAGTAATTTAATATCATATATTTGTGAATTCTCAAAAAATGTTTAATACAAATGATTATCATCTGAATTTATGCAGAATATTATCAACATAATTCTGTAACTTTGATGGTCAAATTGGGTTAATACTACCTAGAATGTGTGACTATATGTTTCATACAAGAAAGATATCAAAATTTCTCAGTTAAATAATCCGATTTCCATTATAACATTTTCAGTCATAAATCTAAATACAACATGGTCGTAATCATGAAACAGTAATAACAAGTCAGAAGTGTGATGAATTTTTAAATAATTCTTGAATTCCTATAAAATACCATTGGGATGAGAAATAAAAAACATCATTTGACTGTAATTTCTAATTAATGCTAAGAAATTATCAGAATTCTAGTCTTCAAAAAGATCCCTACAAAAGGAAGAAAGAAGAATCATGTGAGCTTTAGGAAGCTGGATTCCACGGTCAGCATTTCACCCCCATGCACACCATTTAAGTAAATGTCTCTAGAATTCAATCTGATTAGTGTGATCAAACTCTGGTGATTAAATATAAAACAATATCCTCCGTGCTTCATTAGTCAGGATAATCTTATGCCACCCACTATGGAGTCATGGGAAAATTGAGTATTTCCTATGAAAAAAAAAAGATTTTGACACCCCAAGCAACTCTGAAATGTGTGAATGGACTTGTGTGGGATGCCACAGACTGCCAACTATGGGTATCCTCTTCATGTCTCAGACTTTCTTCTTCTCCTTATCAAATGGAAGGAATGTGAGATTGAGTCTGTTTCTCAACCCAATTTCACACGAACAAGTTTAGCTGCAAACATATATTGTAAATAGCCTCCAATAACCTACAAATAACAATATCTGAGATTCAGTAAAGAATCTCATCATCATAACATACATGGAAAATATAACCCATATTAGAGCAAAAAAATCAAACAATAAAACAGTGCTGGAGGTGACAGAGTTGATGGATTTTATTAAAGATGTTATAAAATGTTAAAAAAAAAAAGTAAAAGCAAAAGGAGATTAAACCCTGCCTTAAATTTTGACCTCTTCCTTGGCTCACCTCAATCTCAACCTTGAGGGTGAGAAAAAGAGATAACCATTCCAAATGGAAATTATAAAATAAAAACATTTGTTTTAAATTCAAAGACACTGGCTCAGAATAGCTATGAACATTGACAAGAAATGATTCGGCATATTGCACAAAACCCTAGAAACAAGTACCTCAATAATAATCCATGAGATTAATGTATTTAGATTATGATAAACGTCATACCTAGATCTGTGTAAACTTGGTAAGTATGTGTCAATATTGTCCTGACACATTTGTAATCCACTTATAAGTTAATGAAAGTAATTTAAATATAAAAAAGGATCTCCCATTGGTTGCAATATAAAAACAAGGAAGATTTCAATGTTAGATATGTGAATCTAGAAGAGGAGTACTGAATGAAACTGAAAGTAGGCCTTATACTCTGTGGAAACATGAAGAGATCAACTTCACAAACTAATTTGGGGTTGATGTAACTCAGTTTTCTCTAAGAGTAAGTGACTCTGTACACAATGTTCAATCCCCTTACAAGTCCAGTGCTTCAGTGCTTGAGATGTAGGCACAAGAAAGAAGAATTTTTTAAAAAATCCCTTTGAATAGGGAACACAAGGTTGATTCTACGTAGACATTGATGCCACTGGTTTGAAAACAAAACAAGTTGAATGCTTCCCTTAATTCAAAGGCACTGTTTTCTACATTGCTAACAAACATTCTTTTTGTAGCAAACTAAACACAAGGGAGTGTTAAGAGGCAAATAATTCATTTTAAGCCTTTTCATACTGCCTTTGCCTCTGATAGCTTTACCTTCAACAAAATATATAGTTTGTGCTTTCTACATTGCTGAAGTAGGCAACAGCACTTTAAGCCACTACTTATGAAGTTATCTGACAGCACCCATGGCTTTGGAATTTCTAAAGCACATGAAGAATAGCAATAACTGCATTTATCAGTGGCTTTCAAAAGAATACATTATATACAAGTATAGTGTAGTAGACAGTTGTGTTTTCTTACTAAAGGCATAATAAAACCTTGGATGCTCTGGAAATGTCAGTGTTCCTTTAAATTAAAGTAAAAAGACAAGAACAGCTGCATCCTGCAAGTAAGAATTTTGAGTCTACTGCTCCTTGTATATGCCCTAGATCATTTTAAGGTGATATGGCTCTATGTTAATATCTCTTACAAATATTAACTGTTCTATAAATGATTCTGATAACTTTAATAACTTGGATGCCAGAGTTTAATAATGTAATTTATAAACCTTGCAGAAAGTCATGCTTGACAAGAGGAAAACTGAGGTAATTGAAAGGTAAGATGAGTGATTTTTTTTAATATAAAGACTGATACAAAGTAGAGAACGTAACTCACTCCCTTGAGTCATGACACCCAGGGGCACCCAGATGCTCCAAGCTAAATGTGGTTTCTTCTTGACCATGTCATAGTGTTTACTAGTGGATATCTTTTTTTTTTTTTTTTTTTTTTTTGGAGACAGGGTCTCCCTGTAGCCCCAGCTGTCCTTGAACTCACTATGTAGACCAGGCTGGCCTTGAACTCACAGTGGATATCTTAAGCAAGAAATCAAAACTTACTTGATGGTTGCTTCCTAGCACCCTTGCCTCCTTCCCCTGGGTGTGCCCAACCTCTAACACCTGCCTTCAGTCTTACTCTGTTATTCTAGTACAGGTGTCAGGGAAGCCCAGCAGAGTATTTTTCCTTTCTGCTTTTTGTTATCTCTCAGCCAGACGTTTTGTCTCTGGAGACTCAGTTTTCTTCCCTGAAGCTCTCTTTCCCTTTCCTTCTCTGCTAAGAATACTAAAGGATGGTTCTCACTGGAAGATATATCTAAAGCTGACATCTCTACAATTAGGCTTCCAGGGCTAAGAACTCAAATATGTTATGTGACCAGGAAAAAGTCACTGAAATTCTGAAACAGCTTCTTTCGGTGGTGTCAACACATGTGGAGAAAGGGAGAGGAAAAAAGAGAGGAAGAATGAAAGAAGAAAGAGAGAGAGGGGAGAAGGAAAGAAAGAAAATTAGTAAATAAAGGGAGAGGATAAATTGGTAACATCATTTTACTTATTACTATAAATGCTGAATCATCTGATGATACAGTCCCTTAAAATCTGATTTTCCTATTTTAAGGAACTTGGCAATAAATAAAAATTTTGTGAACTGAATTATTTAGGTTCAAATCAGTTTTTAGTAGTCTAATTTATGTAGAAATTACAGACATGCTTTGAAAGTGCACCGTCTAGCTGTTTCTAGTGTCTTTCTGTATGTTCTGTCCTGAGAGGCATGGAGTGCTCTGTCGTATGTAAGGGTCTGTGAAACAGTATTTACTGGGTGTTTATTACTCATTCATCTCAATTTCCAGAGTAGACTCATTGGAGTTGTTGTTCAGATTTATTTTAAATAGAGAAACTGCTGCTAAGGGATTTTCAGAGTTGCCCATCATTTACCCAATTCATTTCAGAACAATGATACTTGCAGAGATTTGCCATGACTACCTAGTTCTGTGTAGCCTTTCTGGGATAAAGACAAAAAAGAATAAGCCATCCCAATATTTCTAGATATAAGCTAATGAGAATTTAGTGTAACTTGCCTTAGAGAGTCTTTTTAAAATCATCACTCCCTACTAAGCATCAGAGTATTATTATTATTAGCCCAAAATGTCTTCAAAGAGCTGGGTTTTTTTCCTTTCCACATTTCCATGCAAAATTATTTTCCTATAATATACACAAATACATATATATGCTCTAATAGCTAGATTTGTTCTTTGACTAGTATCATAAAAATCTATAATGGCCATTTATTACCAAATGTTCAAAATCCATGCAGTTTGCTTAACCATATGATTACTTGCTATCATTATACTGAACTAAATTGTCAAAATTGGCACTTTTAAGCGCTTACCTAATAAATACAAAAGAAGTTTAAGACATTACCTTTAACAAACAATTATGTAAAATTCCCAGCAAAACATATTAGAACCAGTTTCATCAGCCTACTTTGTTACAATACTGAAAAGCATTAGGAATGGCAAAACTTGTATGGTGGTGCACACCTTTGATCCCAGTACTCAGGAGGCAAAGGCAGGTGGATCTCTGTGAGATGGTAGCCAGCCAGGTCTACATAGTGACTTCCAGATCAGCTAGGGCTACAGCGAGACCATGTTCAAAACAAAGCATTAAGAATGCAATTATTTTTTTAAGAAAAAAATGGTTCACCAGTTTTATGACTCAAAATATTAAATCATCAATCAAAAGATAAGGCCAATTATTGCTTTAATGTGGGCTATATTTTGTGAATAAGAAAAAAATAAGGAAAGAAATCCGTTTCCTATCTGATTTTGTATCAGTATTTCAAATTATCATATTTGTAGGTAATTCTCATTCCTAATTAAGTAAAAAAAATAGACAGAATTTACTTTGAAACTGATACAACAGTGTTCTATTTATTTTTCTTACTCCTGTTGATAAGCATAGGAAATTAAATCTTTGTTGGTATTAGCAACAAGTTAATCAACTGGTCACTGGTCAATATATTCTACTACAGCTAGTAAATACTTAGAGGAGTGATTTAAAGTTCTGTGTAGGCTACTTTGTTACAGATTTCAAAGGTAATTGCTTTTTCCTTCAAAAAAAAAACTAATAATACAGAATTTTGAATTTCTTAAAAGTTAATCAATTGGATTAGATTCTATCTGCTTTCAAAACAAAATAGTAATTTAAAAAACAATTATGAAAATATGTAATAAAATATACAAGTAATGGGTGACTGATCAATCAAGCAAGCAAGGGATATTTACTACTATTAATATTGTAAACTAACTAGCAAAAAGTGAACTGAAATAGCTCTACTTTTTATCACAATGTCAATCAAATATGTAGCCTCAAAGGTATCTACATTTTACTTTGCTTAGGTATTCTAATTGCAAGAAATTTCTTCCTCTAGTGAAAGAACTATTCTTATTTACTAATGACCACATCATAAAACAAGACTAGCTCAAATCATTATAAATCTAGTGTGAAACTGTAGTTCACTATTTTCATTTTGTGATAAATTGTTTAAAGTCACTATGGCACAATTTATTAACACGTACACAACTGAAAAAAAGAACATTGCCAACAATAATGCTTTCTTTCAGTCTTTGGCTCATGGATTTATTCATTTTTTTATGTGTATGAATGTTTTTCCTGCATACATCTACTGGGACCTGTTTGTGGAATATCCATGAAAGCAATAAAATGAAGTTACAAATGGTTGTTAACTGCTTTTTGGGTCCTAGGAACCAAATCTAGATCCTCTGCAAGAGCAGCAAGTGCCCTTAACTGCTGAGCCATCTACCCAGACTCCTCTATCCATTTTTTGAAAATAAAATCCTGTCTGAATCCAGTCATACCCATACATCTCCATGCCACTCATGCTGTCTTTGTGGTTCAGTGACAGAGTAGAATAGTTATGATAGACACTACAGTGCTTATAAACAGGAAAGTGTTTATCATCTAGTCCTTATCAAAAAGTTTGTCTTAGAATAGCTATCAGTTCTTAGCCACAAATTTAAAACATTTGGTCTGCTTCCTCCTGTACATAAAAATGGTAAGAAGATTTATACATTTGCACTATGTTTAATCAGGACATAACCTAAAAAACAAAAATAAGTCACTTTCTTTCTCTGTAGGACACAGACCTCACTCATAGAGTACATTCGAAAAGCACCTGATTGAGAAACTTTGTATTTTTGAAGTGAATTTCAATGCTAGGTAATTTGTAACATGTTTATATTTAATTCCAAACTACTTAAGACTGCAGAAACAGTACCACGATGGGAACACCTGAAAATGAAATGCACTCAAACACACAAGGTTCTTTGAAGTATATTACAGATTCCTGCAGAGAACACTCTGAATAAGAGTAAGTACCTGTATTTTTTCTCATTGACATTGCTCTTGCGCTCTCAGTTACTTCAAAGAACTCACTGTCTTACATCTACCATGTGCTCTTTTGATACAGTGCTTCCTTGCCCACTTTACAAGGTGATCATACACTGTATTGCAACCTCTCCAAGTCCATTATTTCCTTTCAACATCAACTACAGGGCCATTAGGGAAGCTCTAACTATTTTTTATGGAAGGAGAAACTGAGATCTGTGGGATCCATGGAAGGCTGGTATAAGTAGGGTGAATCAAATTCCTTTTGGTTGGAAGATTTCCCACTCACATAGTCTGTGACTCATCTCAATTTTACATAAATTACATTTTCAATTCTATTTAGATTTTTCTACTTAACATATAGATTCTTTAAAACATGCATGCATGCCAATCATTAAATTTCAAGTAGCCTGAGAACTCTAAACCCTAGATCAGATGATATTCTTTTTTCCCTGCAGTCACGTGGTTAAAACCGCTGAACTTCTATTTAGTTAGAAGACTGTATGAATGACTTTAAATGCAATCACAGATATTTACATTTAGATTTAAAATTTGTTTTTGTGTGTATGTGTGTACATGTTCATATATCTGTGCACGTGTTTGTGCATATGTGTGTATAAGCTAGAGGTAGAAATCAGGTTTCTGCCTCAATCATTCTCCATTTTATGTTTTCAGACAGGGTCTCTCACTGAACCTGAAACTTTCTGATTCAGCTAGACCGGCCAGGAAGCCCCAGGGATCATCCTGGTACTTTCTCTCCAGCACTGGAATGACGGGCACCTGTACCCACCTGTGCCTATATTTCTAATAGTCATTGTTTTATGGCAATTCTTCTGTAGAAATGTATTTTCATTTTCTACATGCTGTGAGCATTCCTTCCTTCAGGGCTTCCGTGTTTAAAAGAAATCCTTTCACTTCAGAATTTAATTTGTTAGCTTAAAATATTTAAGAATTCTAGAAACCAAATTTAGCAACATATTCTCTTTAAAAATTGGTTATTTTTCTAAAATGTCTTCTTAAAAATTAAAATAAAGAGGACAAAACCTGGCTCAGAGAAATGAGCCAGTCTGGCAGTCTGAAATGAAATAAAAAAGTTCACTAAAATTACTTTAATAGCCATAAATGTTCTAGAATAAATTCTACTCTTACATTATTACTAAGATTTAGGGCAACTGAAAAATCAGCTTTAAGACATATTTGTATACCTTAAACTTTAGCTGTTCCAAAATGTTTTGTGTCATTTTTAACAATAATAAGAATGATATGTATTACAATTTTTCCATTGTAATTTTGAACATGTGCTTTGTAATATGAATGATATTTCATTTTAGTTGCTGTATCCATGATAAAAGTAGAAAATGGTGTAATACCTTACATGAAAACAGAAAAACAAATAAAAAACAATGGAGCAATTTGCCCTAGAATGAAAAACTGCATTTTTTAAGCAAGAATCTTGGGAATAGAACCTCAGTGTAAACAATCTGTCTACAGAGAGTAACTGCCAACATGAATTATATACATTGACTGACCCAGAATTCCACAATTTAGGGAAACTATGAAACTACAGTATCAAGACTGAAAGATTTCTCTGCCATATTTATGTAACTGAAAGGAGAACATAGTTTAATTTCTCATATTGAGAACATACAAATTCTTTAAAAAAATAAGTTGCATGTTCACCAGTGCGTATATATGAATTAGAAAGTGGTACAGGTTCAGAACCCTTCCTCAAATCCCAGTGCTCGACCATGATATGGAAATCTTAGTGTTTTTCTGTTGTAGATATTTTGAGATCTAGTTTATATATTTTCCATTCTAACAAGGACCGATAAAATATCTCAATATTAAACATATTAATGACTTTGCAGTTTTGTAATTAAAAAGAAATTTTAGATTTATACAACAAGTTTTCCAATATATGTGTCTGGGCAGTAAATTATAAGCAAATAAAAATATAAATGAAACTTGCTCTATTTTCTGTCCACAATTATTTAATGAGATCTCACAATATACCAGACACTGTTTTGATAAGTTGCTTTTTCTATAATAAAATTTCCTTTTAAAATTAGGGGAGAATCAAGTTAACTTTTTGAAAAACAGAAAGAAACTTGAAGACACTAAAGATTATAAAACAAGCCAGGCATCATAGCAATAGCCTTTAACCCCAGCACCCAGGAAGCAGAAACAGGTAGATTTCTGTGAGATCTATATCACCCTGGTCTACATAAGCCAGCTGGGGCTACAAAGAGGACCCTGTAACAAAAAAACAAAAATGAAACAAAAAATATAATAACTTGAAATTATTTTAATATAGAATCATGAAGCTTGCATATCAGGGTTTTCTGATAGGTGTCGGGCTTTTGTTCCCCCCAGGTGTACTCTCTTTAGATACAGAAACTTAGGAAAAATTTCATAAAAGAACAAGCAGAAAAGTGGTTCCTGGTTTTGGAGTCAAATGTGGGATATTCATCCCTTGAGGATGAATACAAATTCCCAGTTTAGTGACAGACTAGTTGAAATACAAACACACAAGGCTAGCAGAACTGAGTCTCCACTCTGCAGGTCTAGGGGCACAAATTCTCATGGAATGGCCTTGTCACTACAATAATTTTCACTGTACAAAACCCAGGGTCCTAAACTCCCATATTTTAAGAATCTCACCTTCACTTTAGGACATTTTCGCTACAAGTTTGTAAGTCAATATTTTGTTTTTAATTTATGTCAGTTTCATAGTGATACATTAGACAATTTTTAAAAAGTATACAAAACATGCATGAAATTTTTTCCTAGAAGAAATAGACAAGAGCTGTTATTGTCTCTCATAGCCTTCTCTTTTCTTTTTCTTCAAAAAAGGGACATTGGGGTTGTTACACATACCTTGAAAAATGAGGCTTTCCTCTGTCTGAAGGTGCATGAGCTCTTCAAGAAGAATCAGTTTATAAGTGATACCCATCTAATACAGAAATGAAACCCCTTCTCTAATCTAATTAGGGTTAAGAATCCTGATATGCATTTTCTTGAGTGGACAGAATGTCAGAAATACAAAATGGTGCACCAAGTACAATGCATGAATATCTCAAGGTGAAAGCATAACAATACACTTGTTCTCCATTACTGCAGAACCAATAAATACGCATAATGAAAACTATGACAAATTGTTACATTATTCTGTATTGCTTCTATTCATTAAAAAAACCCAGATGAGTGCATTTAAAATATTTCATGTCAAATGACAGTAAACTTTGAAATTGAGAGGATGCTAAAAAGAATATTTGTAAAGAGCTTATGGTCTTATGTGGCTTCCATCAAGATTATGACAGAAATAGAAGAGACTGGAGTAATAACTACTTCACACTAAAATGGCTGTAGCATAGCATATAAAACATTTACATTATTCACTTGGGCTATATGTGTTCTTGATAGTATAGAGTCAATAGAAATCAAATTTAAAAGCTTTAGAGAAAAATTCCCTGTCAATTAGCCCTTGGATGGATACTCATCTTTCAATTTTCCCTGTGATTTAATATACTGAATTATGTTAACAGCACTGGCTTGTACATAAGAGATATCTGAATCCCATTAATAAAATTAGGTTGCCAAAATAATCAGCTTCGCACTTAACAAGTTTCCAAGTATTTAGAAAAGCTGTGAAATGGGATTATAAGGTTAAACTGTGTACATCTGACTTGCCACTGTATAAATATTTCAGAAATTTGATCTCATGGGCTGATGAAACACCTGTCTAATCATGACTCTTTTCCAAGTTACATGAACTTCCCTGAGCAGAGCAGTACATGAAGCAGACAAGAAATCTTCATCAATTTTCGTAATTCTTTTCTTATGCTAGCCACATAATTTTTTAAAATTTTATTTATTATTTTTATTTTATGTGTATGCATGTATTGCCTGCATGTAGGTAAGTGTACTGGTGTCGTGCAATGCCTGTGGAGGTCAGAAGACTCTGTCGGATCCCCTGGGACTGGAGTTATGGACAGTTGTTAGCTGCCATGTGGGTGCTGGGATTCGAACCCAGGTCATCTGCAAGAACAACCAGTGTTCTTAACTGCTGAGCCATCTCTCCAGCCCCACTAGGCACATAATTTTAGCATGTTTCTCTCTTCTAAATGAATATACAAAAATGTTCTAGAAGGTTTCTGTAACATCATACTTATGTTGACAAAATGACCAAGGGCATGTAACATTCAAAACCCAGCATAACTGAGATACTAAATAAGCACGTTGATTTTTTTTCACAGGCTTTGACATGCAATTTTTGTGTAGTTGGAGCCTGTAAGCTGAATTTTAGGATACTGAAGACCCAGAATAATTGTTGTGATGTTTGCGCATAAAATAACAGTAAGAACTTGAGTGGTCCCTCTAGTTAATAGAAGCCTTAATGAAGTTGAATATTAGCTGCTTTTAAACAGACTCAAGATTAAATAACTATGTTGACTCTTTTTCAAATATACAGCAGCCCATTAAACTTGATTTTAGCTCTTCAAATTTTGGTTTCTTTTTAAGTAATTTAGTGAGAAGTGTGCTAAGTAGCGCACTTACCAAATTAGCTTAAAATGTTCAACATGAAAATACTAATTTTGAATCTGTGGCCCAAAATGGAAGACAAAGGGCATTGGATCAAATTCCTAATTTTATTTTCTGGGGCAGATGGGTGTAATGAAACCTACTGATTGAATTTTCAGTGTTTTCCTGTACCTTTTATCTCTGTCTCAACATGTTGACTCTACCTTAATTTTCTAACAAGATGAGAGGATAGTTACAATTAACCAAGTGAAATGATACTCTACTTTTCAATTATTTATATCATATAACCTGGGGAAATTGAAATAGTAGTACTTTCCTTCCCTCACCCTCAAAGTGTGTTCACTATCCATCCTATACACGAAACGCTATCATGAAACCTTTAATATTCCATAGTAGCAGATCTATCCTTGGAAATGTGATTCTCCAGTAAA